CTGAGCTGCGTTAAGGTCACAGCGAGCCTGTTTGTACCAGCGTTTGGCCTCTTCTCTGTTTGGTTTTGGAATATTTGTGTTATGGGACCAGAAGTTGTAGGAACGGGAGCCACTAGATCTATAGAATCTTTCTCGACCACTTCTGTGATGTTGAGCCTCTTGGTTCCATTGCTGGTAGAAGTTTCTGAAACCTGAAGTTCTGCCTGAACCGGGAGGATTGCTTAGCTCATCAATTCGATTCATCAGATATTTAAAAGCTTCAGTGGCAATGTGCTGACGGTCAGGATTTTTGTCTGGATGCCATTTAAGATAAAGTCTCTTAATGCCTTTCTTTCTCTCCTCCTCAGGAAGGTTCCAAATCTCAGCCAAACATCTGTCAATTTCTCTCTTAGCTTCATCAACAGAATCAGGTAATGAACGAGAATTTGGTAATGAATGAGAATCTGGTAACGAACGAGAATCTGGAAACGAACGAGAATCTGGTAACAAACCCAGTGAGGGTTGGGATGAAGGTGACTCATTTCTCACAACCAGCTCCATAGAGAAAGGGAATTTCATCCCTTCGTTTTTCTCCTTCTTTTCTCGTTTAAACTGGAAAAGGTCAAGGTGAGCAACTTCTACTGGGTTATCTTTTCCTATATCTATTTTGTATTTCCAGGAACATCTCCCAGAATGTCCAGGAAGCTCTTTAATGATAACTGCATAAATATACTTGTCATTGGTGTTGTAACCAACGTATTCGCCCTCTTCAAAGTTGTTCAGGAAGCTCATGTCTAATGAATCATGCCATTCATCTGGAATATCTGTCCCAGGGTTTGGCGGACTGAGAGTTTCCCTATTATTGTTGATGCTGTCCTTGATGTTATTTTCAGCCATAGTTTGCTTCACATCTTCCAGATCATCACACATGAGAAGTTGCCCGAGCACTGTAAGGTGAACTGTTTCAATTCTGTGGTCTAAAAGAGCATTTATTCCCTTTATCAAAATCATGTTAACTTTGTTTATGACTTTGGGGCCCCTGTCATCCTTGTGTTTCAAGAACAAATTAAGACCTTGTTCTTCTTGTTTAACAAAAACATCTGTTTCTCTGGCAGTTTTGTGTAGTTGCTGTTCATCCAGCCACAGCATGGTTTTTAGAGATTTGCAACAGATGATCTTAATGCTACCAAATATCTTCTCGCACATCTCTGTTGCCTCGTCTTCTGTTAGCTTACCATCTGTCTGTTCCCTGAGGAGACAAATGAGTCCATATTTGAATGGTTCTGAGGAGAGATGTTTATTAAACCATTTACTGAACTCGCATCCATGTCCAAGCTCACAAAGCTTCAGGTCTGATTCCACAACTTTCTCCTCCATGATCTGAGCCAACAATCTGGGCTGAAGTTTCGGAGGTAACATTTTCACAAGTCGATGATGCTCATACACATCACTGCCCAGATGACATTCACTGAGTTTCTCAAGCAACAGAAACTTATCTTCCAGTCCTTCTTCCAACCTTCTGATTTCAAACACTGTGTCATTGTAGTAGAGTGAACTTGTTGGTTGTAACTTTCCATCAACTGCAGGAAGATACAAAGTTTGAACTACACCATTGAGGATCTGGTTTCCTTTAGTTTTAGTTACGAGAAACAAGTGATGAACTGCTCGTTTCACAGTGATCAATTGATTTGCATTTAGCTGCTGTTTATCAGAGGAATCAGCATAAACAGCTGCCAGCACATTACAGTAGTGCTTTGCAGTTGCCTCCTTCTCCACACCAACTTTCTTAAAGAATTCTGCATACAACGCATCCTCAGAAGGGATTGCATACAAGTAAGGCCTGAACTCAAGATCATCTTGAAGCGAGAGACAGACACAGTCAGCTTTAAAAAGAACAGTGTCTTTTTCAACCAAGACAACAGGAAGCCCATACAATGACTGACCATCAAAGTCATTGGCCTGCAGGTAAGCGTATGCATGTCGAAACACGTCTGCTCTGGTTTTTATCCTCTGCTCAGATTCACATGGTGATTGACAGATGTTGCCAATGTTTCTGGTGACGTACTGTGATGGTGGTTTTGTGTGAAGTCCTACTTTTTCTAGATTTAGTGAGAGCTTTTGGTTGATATAAACTGGTAGATGTATAATTGGCATTGAGGACCAGATCAAATCCTGATGTTTAGGATCACCATCAATCAAAGATCCTCTGATATGAACATTGGTATTCTCTGATGCAAATGGTTGATGGTAATTGCAGAGATCCTCCTGAATCTGAACTGGAAAGATAAACCTGATATCAGCAATTCTCCTTAACAACATTTCACCATTTTCATTTTTCCCTTTTTCCAAGACTTCTTTAAAAAGTAGTTTTGACTTTTCTTTTAAACTTTTAAGGTTTCTTTTTTCTTTTGCTTCTGTTTCCAGCTGGTATGCAAACCTGATTATTTCATCTTCTGCCACTTCATATTTCATTCCAAGTTCTCTGACCAGATTTCTTGCTCGTTCTGCTTGATTTTCACTGATGACAGTAAAGTACTCCCAAAATATCTTTGGCACAAATTTTTCTTTAGGAATCATTTTTTTATAAAGCGTAACAGTGTCATCATAGTAGTATGAAGCACACTCCAGCTGACCTTGAGAACTGCGAATCAGCTTTACATACTTCAGTGAAGAGATAATATTGACCTTGTGCTTGCAAAACTCAGATTGCATTAACAATATCAGCTTTAAGCAGTCGAGAAGCTCAGTCTCTGTGAGCGTTTGTACAATCTGTAGAATGAACTTCACAAAATAATCTAGATCATCCAGGATTTCTATCTTCAGTATTTTTGAGAGAGAAAGATTCTCTAAGTTATTTTTCAGGAAAGTATTGTTGCTGTTGCACAGGGAGAAGAAATGTGGAAATGTCCCTGAATGTTGGCTGTTAAGGACAAAAACCTCTTTTGGTCCATCAATCCTTACTCTTTCACCAACTGTTGTTTCAAATATTGGCAAAGATTTAAGTTTCCTCTCATATTCTTGACAGTTTTTAGATGCAGAGTGTCCTGATTGCAAAAAGTTCTGAAGCTCATTAAACTCTTCACCTGACAAGTACAAGAATTTTAAGTGGTTGATTTTGCAGACTTGGTCCAGCACTGAACTTTTATCATGGACATTCATGAGATAAGTCTGCA